AAAAAAAAAAAAAAAAAAAGAAATAATAATAAAACGACCTGGTAACGGAGGCGATCGCTGTTAGTTTCTAGCGGCGACGAGACTGCGACGGAAACTCGTGAGGGAGATGAGAGACTTCACGACGATGGTAACTGACACTCGCAACCTGCACACACTGGCAAACATTCTTCGCTATCGTTCTGAATCGCGTCGACAGGTGGGGCGTGCACGCGACAATCTGCGCTACATCGGCGAACGAGTGACCAGAGGAATGGACGAGGTGCGTACATCTTCATCTCCGTTGACCATGAAATCTCGAGAGACGTGTAATGTGTAAACGAATCCATCAGATCGAGCAGGACGTTGGAAAGGAGCTGCGAGTTACCGGTCGACTGACGACGCAGAGCGCGAAACTGGCGGGGGTGCTGCGACGATTCGGCAGCCTCGAGGAGAACGTGATCGAGGTAGGCACGATCTCTCGACATCGCTCGAAGGAGATTCGCGACTGACTCCATCGTCCTTTCGTTCCACCGAAACGGAAGCAGCTGGTACGTATGGATCGCAATCGAGAGAACGCCAATGTCGAGACACCGATCGACGTGAGCACGGAGATCGAGAAGGTGGTCGCTGCTGCTGAAAGAAGGAGCGTCGACGGTTGCCGAGAGGGACGAGACGCAGCGCAAAGGAGGTACGAAGAGGAGAAGGAGGAAGAGGAACCGGCTATACGGCGAGAACGAATCGGTGTCGCCAGCACGCGAAATCCTCTGTCGAAATTCTCGACGTGCGGAGCTCGGGAGATCGGTCGAAAGGTTCGAGTCGCCACCATGCCGGAGGTTCGTCTTCTCGGTGAATCCAGATCGAGCAAATAAATTCTCTCTCTCTCTCTCTCTCTCTGTCCTTCCTCCTTCCTTCGAGATTTCGCGCGATGCGAGAAGAAAGAGATATATATATATATAGATATATGTAAAAGAGACGGAAGAGGGATAGACGATCGGGAACGTGGTTAGCCGCGGCGTGCCAGGACGTTGCTTCTGTTGGTGGTCAAATAATCGGCCAGTCTCTTGACGAATCCGTTCCAGCCAACGCGACCTATCTCGTCGAGGTTTCGCTTGAAGAAATTGTCGAAAGCTGTCCGGTCGATCTCGTCGATGTTTCGCTTGACGAATCGTTCGAGGAGTTCTCGATCGGTGGGAAGGAGCGCGATCGACTTGCTGCGAACACAAAAAGGAAAAACGTGGAACAACGAGAGAGTGACGGCGGTGGAAGGTCGAGAATTCACGCGAATTCACATTTTCGAATAACTTGACATAGATATTTATAAAACATATTCCTTTAATCACTATTTCATTAACTTTGTGATGAAATTTTTTACACAAATTTGTCAATCAACAAGTTTATTTGTTCGTATATATTCTGTTTAATATACTTTTTCATCAATTCAGATCATACATTGGTAAAACTTTTAATTTTCGTTATTCTACATTAAGCAGAAGAGGATAAAGTGTTTAAACTTGCTTCTTTTTTTTTTTTTATTTCTTAACTTGTTAGACGCGTATATTAACATAAAAGTAGTCTTGGTTTGTGACAATCCTTGACATTCCTCTGCTATTTTCAAATCTATACTCTAGTTTCCTGTGTGCTTCTTTGCAAAGTAATTGTTCAATAGGGAACAATGCATTTCTCACTGTATCTGTTCGACGAATAAGTAATTTGTGCATAGAAACTGGCATGTCACTGTGAACGTGCTTTGCAGTTTCCAAGATTTAAGATTTTGAAATTTTTCCGCATTTATGGTATATGTGTAACATGGTGATGTTACTCCAAGAACGATATGGAATCGTTTTGTCGAATTGATCGAACATCTGACTGAATGCAGTCTAGGCCTCTTGAGACCTGCCTCGCAAAGTTCCGTTGATCAATAGTATGCATAAACACGAACGCGATGCAAATGCAACTTCAATACAATAATATCTTGAAAAGTCGACCGCGGATGGATATGGTTCTTACATTGTTACATAGAAGAAGATTTACTTTTTAAGGGTTGTGAGACTTTGGGAAACTGGAATGATATTGCTCGTCAAATGTAAAAAACTTAAAAAGTTTTTTTCTTCGTTTCGTTCCAATATTTTTAGAAGGAATATGTCATGTAGTACAATTGCCAAAGTGAAAACTTGAAAATTAAACACAGTTTTTCCAGGACATTTCAAAGAAGAAGGACCAAATTATTCGATGAGAATCGATATTTTTGAAAAATGTCCAACTTTACGTGTCTGTGTTTCGACTAAATTATTATCATTATATTTTACTAATTCTTTCTTAGAACTCGATATATATGGAAAAAAATATCAAAACCAGAAGGTTTGTGAAATTCTTTTGTAAAATGTCGCGTGAATTCTCGATCGGGGCCCACTTGCTTACCTGGGAGCCGACCACTCGTCCACCGCGTTGTCGTTGTCGTTGTCGTTGTCGTTGTCGTTGTCGACGAGATGCGTGCTCGATCCAGAAGCGAATCCGAGGCCGTTATCCCGACGATGGTCGCGTTGTTTTCTCGCTGTCGCGACGAAAATGGGAAAAAACGCCGCTTGCATTAGTAAGCATTAGGAAGAGAAGAAGATCAAAAGAAAAGATGGAAGATGAAAAAA